GGGCCAACTTGAAACTTTCTCAATCCATCATCAGTCAGCTTGACCTCCTTCCAATTGCAGCAGTTTTTCCACAGTACCGGCAACATTTTCCTATGTTTTTGCAACCAATTGTTCATCATTATGTAGAATCAGTCAAATGCTTAGAGTAATGTTTTCCAATTTTTCCACTTGTGACCTTAAAATACCAGTGGAATAAACTTCTGAAGTTTATTTCAGATGAGTTGGAGGCGTCGCCAGTGAGCTAGCTACTAAATTTCAACTATTTCAACTACTTTTAAATATGTAATAGTAATATTTACTACTTGTGTTAATGGAATAAGATTTTCACAAAATTATTTATTTTTTCTTTTGGGATGTGTCGTGGAAAAAAAGCAATTTCCAAGCACAGTTCAGGTAGAATCACTCAATCAAGTTTATTCATAAATTGTGCACAACAATCAATAATCAAGCCAGTCTGGATGCAAAGCTTGCAAAGCTCTCCCAGGCACAGACAACATGTAAGTTTTATACAGTGATAAGGAATGAAAAACAAGAATGAAAAACAAGGGGTGAGACTGTCTGGTCCTCACGCAGCTGTGGAAAACAACCTTCCAACCTCGTACATGAAACCCAAATAGTTCTTTTGGTGAGAGTTCACAAGCATTTTATATGACATGACTAGCAAATGTGACCTTATTGTAATTTTTCCATCACAGGATGTCAGATTGAAGCAGTTTTAATATATATACTCTATACATTTTTAAGAATTTGTTTTAAAAAAATTCAAAGTTTAATCTTTTCACTTTACAATTATTCACAATCGTAACATGGAAAGGCTAATCCATGTGATTACTGCTGTCAGATATTATATAGGGACTTATTTCTGCCAGTAAATTAGAATATTATTGAAAAAAAAATCATTTATTTCAGGAATAGAATTTTACACAGAATAATGACACAGAGATGCATTTATTTCTGTTAATTATAATATTCTGCCTACACCTAATTAAAACATGAATTTTACATTAGACCAACAAAAAAATCTGTTTTTCAAAATATAAATGTGGAATTAATTAAATGTATGTTTAATACCTACTAAAAGGTTGTTAATTTTATATTTAAATTTGACAAATGAGATTCATTGAGACATATATTCTAATTTATTGAATAAGACTTTATATTAGATATTTTTTATAGCTTATATTTATTAGCAGTTATTCAGGTCGACAGAGAAAATCAATGTTGTTTAGATGTTTGTGTAGGAATACTGAGAGACCAACAAAAGAGTTGACATTTCTTCTGACCCCACAGAAATGTGTGAGCGCTGTCCTCTAACTACTAATTGCTCCTGAAATTATTAGATTTTTTTTTCTGAGAGACACGTCTCGTCCTAACTGAGACTGTGACCGCTGCGATTTGGGGATCAGTCACGGTTATCGATTGGTTTCGCGTCGCAGTGACCTTTCAGTCCGACAGCTCCTTTTATTCATTAAGCTGCCACCTCAGCGCTAACCGGATGCTCCCTCTAGGCCGCTCTGGATGCACACTGCCAACTTCAATTAAAGCTCAGCGTAGACTATTACTTCATTTTAATCAATGTCTGCCTTTTTTTTTGCTCCCAGGCGGTATTTTGGGGAGAAGATTGGCCTGTACTTTGCCTGGTTGGGCTGGTATACAGGCATGTTAATCCCTGCAGCCCTAGTTGGTGTTTTTGTCTTTCTGTATGGACTCTGTACCATGGGCTCAAGTCAAGTGAGGTCAGTTCACACGCTAAGCTGATCACACTCAGTACAATCCAGACATATCTGGTAGTAATTGTTGGCTAACTTCCCAAACTCATTGTCCCATCAGTAAGGAAATTTGTGAAGACAACGAAACCATCATGTGTCCTATGTGTGAGGAAAACTGCAAGCCATGGAAGCTGAGTGACAGCTGCGTCTTTGCAAGGGTGAGCACATTTACTTCAGCTTCCATTGGCCCTTTGCACGTGACATCACTCTGTCCAGAACTCCGCCCACTCTGCCATGATGGACATCAACGCAGCCATTCCTCCTTTACAGCTAGTCTAAATACAGACATCTGTAGTCTAATATTACTTTCCTTTTAGTTGATTTCACGTTAAAAAATAGTCATTGGATGCTGCACAAACAAATAGGAACCAAACTTGTAATTTTGTTGTGTAACTTTTAATGAGGAAAGATGCCGCAATAGAAGCTGTCAATCATAACTCACAAATAAATTAGTTTGACTGAAAGAAGCCACAAATAAACTGGCAAAAACAACTTGGGAAAACAATTTCAGCTGCTCTGCTCAATACTCCCTGCCCTCATTTCAGTCATCCATTTCGGCACCTCAAATATTAAATGACTTGGTTGCAAACAGTCAATCGGACATACATGTTTAAGTTTCTCCTGTTACAAGTCTAAATAAGCAGCTAATATTTCAGAATTTACATCAGTTTTATAGAATCTTGCAAACTATACCATACATAATCGTTAAAATACATTTCAGTTTTATAATTTAATATTTTTTGTAACAAATACACAATTAGAAAATTAATACCCAATGATTTAGTTACACATTTTCCTCTCTAACTTTCAATAACAGAGAAAAACATTTCAGCAAATAATTTTTACTTTCTGTAAATACACAATTTTGCGGTTAAAGTTATTTGGGCCATGAGGTAAAATTTCTGCTTCTTGTTTGCTTCATTAAGTTTTTTTTTTTGTTCTTATTTGAAACACATTAGATATGAAATATTAACATATTATTGCAGCATCTTAGTCTCACCTACCCTTTAACTTAAGGACCATTGCACGGATAACTAAAAAAAAAAATGTGTGTAGAAAAAACTTCTTTTAAACCAAAGGTAACATAGTTAACAATTCCTTTCAAGTAAATTAATTTGAGGCTGTTTCTTTAATGAGCAGGATGGTAAGAGAGGTTAAAAGATCCCCAAAGTTAAACTGCATCTATTAAATGCTACCTACATGTCAACCAGTTTGGAAATCGTGCCAGAAATCAGGAATCAAAACATAAAAAATGTTTGCAAATTTGAAACTTGGACCAGTGCAGCAAGGTTTGGTCTGATAAAACTAAGACTGAGCAGTATATTGGTATAGAATAAAAATCTTATTGTTTATACCTGTAGCAGTATGACTACATCATGGATTGGTTTCTAGTTAATCACAGGGCAAACAAGAAAAACTAACCATGCACACACACACACACACTCAGACCTGAGAACAATTAAAGATAGCAATTATTCCCAGAGAAACATTCAAACTCCATGGGGAAAAAAATATGACCTTCTCGCTCCTATGCATCGGTGCAAAACAACTGTTTCCAACTGAAGTCTGTAAAAAAACTATGTGGAAAATGTCTGTGTCTCCAAACTTTGTTTCTTACTTCATTGTTTAAAAGCTGCATAAGTGCAAGCAACCTGTTTGTTTATCCATCCATCCCTAGAGTCTCCATTTTTCCAGTTTCCATTTTATGGCCTCACCTCTGTGAAACATCCTACCACATATGAATAACTGTTAATAAAATCAACTAATACCCAGCCAGCACACCTAGGTGGGCCCCATATGGGATATAAGTGGGCAGGCAATATGGGTCCCAAAAGGGTTTGTCCACGGTTTCCATGATGGCCCCACATGGGTTTGCCCAAGTAGATTTTAATGGGTGCTAACTGGGTTTTCAGTGGGTCCCACATGGTTAACTCACATGAGGCCCATCTGTGGCCCACTAGGGTGCTGTCAGGAATATTTACGTGGGTCCCAATTGGGTCTGAACTGGGCTAGAATATGGGTACCAAGTGGGTTTGTCCACGGTTTCCATGGTGGCCCCACATGAGTTTGCCCAAGTAAATTTTTATGGGTGCTAACTGGGTTTTCAGTGGGGCCCATGTGGTTAACTCACATGAGGCCCATCTGTGGCCCACTAGGGTGCTGTCAGGAATATTTACGTGGGTCCCAATTGGGTCTGAACTGGGCTAGAATATGGGTACCAAGTGGGTTTGTCCACGGTTTCCATGGTGGCCCCACATGGGTTTGCCCAAGTAGATTTTTATGGGTGCTGACTGGGTTTTCAGTGGGTCCCACATGGTTAACTCACATGAGGCCCATCTGTGGCCCACTAGGGTGCTGTCAAGAATATTTACGTGGGTCCCAATTGGGTCTGAACTGGGCTAGAATATGGGTACCAAGTGGGTTTGTCCACGGTTTCCATGGTGGCCCCACATGGGTTTGCCCAAGTAGATTTTTATGGGTGCTAACTGGGTTTTCAGTGGGTCCCACATGGTTAACTCACATGAGGCCCATCTGTGGCCCACTAGGGTGCTGTCAAGAATATTTACGTGGGTCCCAATTGGGTCTGAACTGGGCTAGAATATGGGTACCAAGTGGGTTTGTCCACGGTTTCCATGATGGCCCCACATGGGTTTGCCCAAGTAGATTTTAATGGGTGCTGACTGGGTTTTCAGTGGGTCCCACATGGTTAACTCACATGAGGCCCATCTGTGGCCCACTAGGGTGCTGTCAAGAATATTTACGTGGGTCCCAATTGGGTCTGAACTGGGCTAGAATATGGGTACCAAGTGGGTTTGTCCACGGTTTCCATGGTGGCCCCACATGGGTTTGCCCAAGTAAATTTTTATGGGTGCTAACTGGGCTTTCAGTGGGGCCCATGTGGTTAACTTACATGAGGCTCATCTGTGGCCCACTAGGGTGCTGTCAGGAATATTTACCTGGGTCCTAATTGGGTCTGAACTGGGCTAGAATATGGGTAACAAGTGGGTTTGTCCACGGTTTCCATGGTGGCCCCACATGGGTTTGCCCAGGTTGATTTCAATGGGTGCTAACTGGGCTTTCAGCGGGACCCAGATGCCTTAATCCTGTAGGAACAATTCTCATCTAACCTGGATGTGAATTACATTCATAGATATGCAATCTTGATCAACAATCCAAAGTCTAGCTTAAAACGTGTTCAAATAAAAAAAAAAAAAAAAAAGAGATGAAAAATTTATTTTGCTCAAGGCTTTTATTTAGTAATTTAAAATATTGTCAGGAGTTATTTTTTACCTCACTACAGCAATTATTAGAACTTCATTAATACTCAGGGAATGGTGCCACAAAAAGAAATCTGCAATTATTCACGACATCTTTGAAAATAACAGAAGCTAGTTTACTATAACAAACTTATAAACAGATCTATAAATATATATCTATAGATGCACACAAATAAAGACACCTACATATTTTCCTACAGGTCTATAAATGTATACATCTAAATACTATCTATATAACTTTATACACGTATATTCACATTGATACACACAATGTGAATATACACACCTATATAGATCTTTCACAATACATTTTTGTTAAACATTTTTAAAAATAACCTACATGCCATATGCATGCTTAAATTTGAAATCTCTCATACTTTACTGAAACTGTCCATCTTGAAAGACCTCCCCAACCTGAGTTTGAACTGGCAGTCTCTCTAGTCTATTTCCACTTCCACTCGGGCTCCAGTAAACCACTTCGAGAGTCTTTGCTGTATGCTTGTGTGATTCTGTAGATGGATAATTTCTTTTAAGTCCCCTGAAATAACAAGCAAAGGTAGAAATTGTATTAGTGTTTCATTTTAGCACAATGTAACATTCATGAGATTTGCATCTCCCCCTTCATGGGGCAAAAATGCTTGCAGAGATATGCCATAATCAAAAGGACTCTTGAGTCATCATTATTATGTACAGAAACTATATTCTTACTGTAAATTTAAAATATATCCATCTATATAAATCAACTACTAGGTTCTATCGTGGTTTTGTGGTTATTTTAATATTGTTTGAAATGCAAACAATATTACCTTCAAATTTTTAAGTTCTTAACAACAGTGAAAGAATACTGTTCAAATAAAACCAAAAATTGAAGACTCAATTTTTAACCTAAAAACATTACTAAAAATAACAAACAAAAGCATAAAACAACCAAAATAAATTAACATATGTTTAAGAAAGAAAAGTGAAAAAAAAAAGTTACTCTGACAATAAAAACTGATATTTACCATACAAAACATCAAAGAGACGCAGGTCCAAGAGCTTGTTTCCAATGTTGGCCAAAAAGGTTGAACTGGACTTCCAGTTCATGGGACATGAGGAATCGCACAGCTGGTTGTATTGTGTCATCTAAGGATGCTCCTCCAATTTCTGTAGCCATGGCAACCTTAAGTACAATGACAATAACAGGACAACATTTTGTTTTTGTTCATCAGTTTGTCATTATATCACTCTTATGTGCTTAATTTCACTAACATATTAATCTACCTTTTTCAAATCATTATAAAGTGATCTTCACACGCTGATCCTCTTGAAGCCTGCAAAAATATATATTTTATTAGTGCAATATAACATTTAGACTTTTCAAAAAAATAAAAAAATTAAGGCAAAACAGCCTTTGTATAGATTAACTACTGAAGCCTTATATTGTAAACACTGAACAGTTTTGCAATTATCCTAATTTCTTTGTTAACGTGACAGGACTAAGACAGTAGTATTACTCTTAAGAGAAGTTTAGAAAATCACTATAAATGTAACTAATAAAGCCTAAAACATTGCACATATAAAAAAATTAGAGCTACAATTAAATATAAGTACATTTCACATAACTGCTAGCTAAATATTGCAAAAATATCAAAAAGAATTTCTTCATCTTTCAATATTTGTTTCAGGCTTGGCCACTGATTGACATGATGGGTTTCAATTTACGGACCCACATGCAGTAACCACACGTTGGATAGGGATGAGTGAGTGATTTATTTACAACAGGACAAAATAAAATCTATTTCCCGGACATCAGCGGAAGGGTGAGGACCACTCGACCAGGTTGGCCTGAAACGAGAACTTAGTTATGACGGGCTTAGAATGAGTGATCGGAGGGGAAACAAACAGGCTTACTTCGGTGCGGGTCTTTCGAGGCGTGGGTGTGAGATGCCAGGTTCCTGAGAGAGGGTGTGCAGCGGTTCCGAAGGTAAATGCGAGGTGGGAATGGAAGAGAGCTGGAAGCTCGAAGGGTGGAGTGGAGGCAGTGGAATCGGCGGAGCGAGCAGGCAGGTATTCACTGGTGAGTTCTCGAATGAGGCGACAAAACCCCTAGGATCGAACAAACACAGAGACCAGGTGACTTCTAGTAGACACAGAAACGTTCTCAGAAAACTGTTCACAACAGGAGAGGCCAGAGTGACTACCGGTGTATGCAACCATCTAGCATACACCAGTAGAATCTTCAGTCAATCTAGCGTAGACTGAAGATTCTGCTGCTCCTCCACCTGTGCCAAGCTCCACGGGCTCCTCACAAAGATCCTCGCTGAAATAAGATGCGACACTCACATACACACACAGGAACCCTGACACTGATGACTACTCTAGACCAACACAATAGCGGCAGATTGAAATAAACTATGACATAACAAAACGCTTTAAAGTGTCACACAACAATTAAAAAAAGAATTTAAAAATATGAACTACAATGCCTTCATCCTATTTACAAAAAACCTTTTAGGCCCAATATACTGAAACCACATGGGCCCCATATAGTGTTCCCATTTCTGTCCCATGCCCGGTTAGCCCACGTTAATGCTGAATTGGGCCCATACATTTAACCCAATTGAGCCAACAATATGAGTCCCATTTCGGTTAACCTTTTGAGCCTCACGCAGTTGGCCCAGATAAAACCCATGCCCTCTTATCATTACCTATATAGCCCAAAGCTAAACGATTCAATGCAGTTTTATTGAAAAAAACGACAATAATAATCTTGCATGGGTCCCAGCCAAACCAGCCTGAATCCATACATGAGACCCACCCATGCATGCTGATGTGACTGTGAGAAAGATTATTAAAAGCCCAAGTACATAGAATGAAAGCACAATAGTTACTCTTTTTAAATCATACAAATGGTTTTATTGTGTCCAGACACTTTGTAACAACCTCTGCTAGCAACATAGATTCTTCAGTGAACCGATTTCATTCTGCCTCGTTGGCGCTCAAATGAACCAATGGCAGCTCAACAAATAGAATGGCGGCGGTATTTGAAAATGGTTTGGCCCACAACGCTGCGTTTGAAATCGGTCTGCACTAAAATCTGCTTATTGTGTGTAGCTGTGTGTGTTAGCAATATCAGAAAAAGTATCACCCTAAAGAAAAGCAAAAATAACAATAACAATTAAGTCTCTTTTGGGATACTGTCGTCCGATTTGTTACGAGCAACAATTTTTTTAACAAGCGATTTAAAATCTCTCCCTAAAATTTGGTACTAGGTAAAACAGAAGAAATGTACTTACAGATTCTTTCGTAGATCAGCCAACAGGCAGACTCCGCGCCAACGGACTGATGAAGAGAACAGGCTTGATTTTGAAACCGCATATCCATCCGCGGGTCATTTTACGTTTTCCAAGAAACACAAGATTAATTTTTGAGAGTGCTACATCGGTTTAACAAATGTAAAACCGATGTAGCAAAAGTTCTCAATGTAAATAAATACATTTCGTTGTCCTCCTTATTCAAATATGTTTTGGAACTATTTTCTTCAGTGGATGTGTAAAGTGCCTACCGGTACTTCAATTCACCAACCTTTATTGGCAACGGTGCCTCAGAGCAAACAATGAACAAAAAGGTAATTGGAACCAAATGAATCATTAACAGAAATGTTACGTTTTTTTATTTTTTATTTTTATTTATACTGATGACTTGGAAAATGTTTGCAAATATATGAAAAAACAGATGCTCAAAATTTTACTCTTGTCTCTCACTTGCTAATGAGTTTTGTTTATTTTCTAAACATTTTGTGATATTTTTCACAATGGTCTGATCTGAACTATTTGTCCAAATAAAAATTTAAATCTTGCTGCGAACAGGCTGCAGTAAACTCTATGGATGTCTAAACATCCAATTGATAAAAAATAATAATAAAAATAAAATAAAAAGTTATTATTATTAAAAATAAAACAAGGACTAAAGCTCAACCATGACCACTCTGTGCTTAATTTTGAGTAAGCACCAGAATATGAGTTTACGTATATATTTCAAACAGATTATTTCAAAAAAATGTTTTAAGACATTCAGACTGCAATAATAAAATGAAAAAAAAGTTAGGGGTTCAAAGTGTAGCAAGAGCAATACTGAACTGGCTTTTGCTTTGACATACAGTGAAAAGTTTGAAAGTGACAGGGTAACCACATTGTCGATTAAAATGTTCTACAATTTTGTCCCATTTAGACCATGAAAAAAAGTACTAGGGGCTACATTTTCCTGCCCAGGTCCAACCCATGTATGGTTAGCCCATGCTCATGTCATGTTAGTTTAATGTGGACAGCCCACATTGGGCTTCTCATGTGGGGCCCATGATACTGAAACCACATGGGCCCCAAATAGTGTTGCCCATTTCTGTCCCATTTCCAGTTAGCCCACATTGTTGCTGAATAGGGCCCATACATTTAGCCCAAATGGGCCAGCCCATAGGGGTCCCATTTTAGTTAACCATATGTGTCCCATGAGGTTTGCCCAGATAAAACCCATGACCACTCATTACCCATATGGCCTACTACAAACCCAAGGGGGGCCCACTCATGCGTACTGGCTTGGAGACTGGACTGGACTGTTCTAGCATAAAATAATAACATGAAAAAATGTTAAGGGTTCAAAGTGTGGCTAGAGCAATACTGAACTGGTTTAAAAAAATAAAGCATTGTAGAATTATTTTTAATGTTTTAATATCCTGGTCCTCTGGAAGCCTATTGTTTGTAAATGAGCCAGGCATAGATATCACACAGTGAACATGTTTTAGGTTCAAACATTAGGAAGACATGGATGTTCTGTTCTATCAGCAAAATATATCCTTGGGTGATCTCCAAGACGAGGTCACCTTCGTCCTGGAGACCTCGACAATGGTCAAGGTCACCAACCTTTACTATCGTCGAGGTTTCCTACAAGGAAAAAATTAAATTCTACAATTTACCTTACATCAACTCCATTAGAGGCCAGCTGAGTAACAATTGCCTTGGCAAAGACTATAAAGCTGACATCTCGGGTAATTCTTTCCAAGTTTTGAGAATCTTGCTCTTGCAGCTTTTGCTTTGACATACAGTCAAAATTTTGAAAGTGACAGGTTAACTACAGGGGTTGGACAATGAAACTGAAACACCTGGTTTTAGACCACAATAACTTATTAGCGTGGTGTAGGGCCTCCTTTTGAGGCCAATACAGCATCAATTCGTCTTGGACAAGTATGGGGCCAAGGGAATGCCATGATATGGCAGCCCACACCATCAATGATCCACCCCCATGCTTCACTCTGGCATACAACACTCTGGCTGGAATGCATCTTTGGGGCTTCTCCACACCGTAACTCTCCCGGATGTGGGGAAAACAGTAAAGGTAGACTCATCAGAGAACAATACATGTTTCACATTGTCCACAGCACAAGATTTTCGCTCCTTGCACCATTGAAACCGACGTTTGGCATTGATACGAGTGACCAAAAGTTTGGCTATAGCAGCCCGGCTGTGTATATTGACCATGTGGAGCTCCCGACGGACAGTTTTGGTGGAAACAGGAGAGTTGAGGTGCACATTTAATTCTACCGTGATTTGGGCACCGTGGTTTTATGTTTTTGGGATACAATCCAGGTTAGCACCCAAACATCTCTTTAAGACAGCTTCATCTTGCATCCACAGTTAATCCTGTTAGATGTGGTTCGTCATTCTTGGTGGTATGCTGACATTACCCTGGATACTGTGGCTCTTGATAATCACAAAGACTTGCTGTCTTGGTGAACAATTTGCCCTCTTTTGAACTCCAGTATGTCCCAAATAATGTTATGTGCATTGCAATATTTTGAGCAAAACTGTGCTCTTACCCTGCTAATTGGACCTTCACACTCTGCTCTTACTGTTGCAATGTGCAATTCATGAAGATTGGCCACCAGGCTAGTCCAATTCAGGCATGAAACCTCCCACACTAAAATGAGAGGTGTTTCAGTTTCATTGTCCAACCCTGTACATTGTTCTACAATTTTGTCTCATTTAGCCCACTTAAAAAAGGACTGGGGTCTACATATCCACACCCAGGTCCAACCTGGGCGTGGATATGTACTGACCACACTGAACCCACAGTGGGTTCAGTGTGGTCAGCCCACATGGTCTCCCCATGTTGGGCCCATGACATGAGCCCATGCTGATGTCATGTGGGTTCAGTGTGGTCAGCCCACATGGTCTCCCCATGTTGGGCCCATGATACTGAAACCACATGGGCCCCACATAGTTTTGCCCAATTCTATCCCATTCCCAGTTAGCCCACTTAAAAAAGGACTGGGGCCTACATATCCACACCCAGGTCTAACCCATAGATGGTCAGCCCATGCTGATGTCATGTGGGTTCAATGTGGTCTGCCCACATGGGCTTCCCATGTTGGGCCCATGATACTGAAACCACATGGGCCCCATATACTGTTGCCCAGTACTATCCCATTCCCAGATAGCCCACTTAAAAAAGGACTGGGGCCCACATATCCACACCCAGGTCTAACCCATATATGGTCAGCGCATGCTGATGTCATGTGGGTTCAATGTGGTCTGCCCACATGGGCTTCCCATGTTGGGCACATGATACTGAAACCACATGGGCCCCATATACTGTTGCCCAGTACTATCCCATTCCCAGATAGCCCACTTAAAAAAGGACTGGGGCCTACATATCCACACCCAGGTCTAACCCATATATGGTCAGCCCATGCTGATGTCATGTGGGTTCAGTGTGGTCAGCCCACATGGTCTCCCCATGTTGGGCCCATGATACTGAAACCACATGGGCCCCACATAGTTTTGCCCAGTTCTATCCCATTCCCAGTTAGCCCACTTAAAAAAGGACTGGGGCCTACATATCCACACCCAGGTCTAACCCATATATGGTCAGCCCATGCTGATGTCATGTGGGTTCAATGTGGTCTGCCCACATGGGCTTCCCATGTTGGGCCCATGATACTGAAACCACATGGGCCCCATATACTGTTGCCCAGTACTATCCCATTCCCAGATAGCCCACTTAAAAAAGGACTGGGGCCCACATATCCACACCCAGGTCTAACCCATATATGGTCAGCCCATGTTGATGTCATGTGGGTTCAATGTGGTCAGTCCACATGGGCTTCCCATGTTGGGCCCATGATACTGAAACCACATGGGCCCCATATACTGTTGCCCAGTACTATCCCATTCCCAGATAGCCCACTTAAAAAAGGACTGGGGCCCACATATCCACACCCAGGTCTAACCCATATATGGTCAGCCCATGTTGATGTCATGTGGGTTCAATGTGGTCAGCCCACATGGGCTTCCCATGTTGGGCCCATGATACTAGAACCACATGGGCCCCACATACCGTTGCCCAGTACTATCCCATTCCCAGATAGCCCACTTAAAAAAGGACTGGGGCCCACATATCCACACCCAGGTCTAACCCATATATGGTCAGCCCATGCTGATGTCATGTGGGTTCAATGTGGTCTGCCCACATGGGCTTCCCATGTTGGGCCCATGATACTGAAACCACATGGGCCCCACATAGTTTTGCCCAGTTCTATCCCATTCCCAGTTAGCCCACTTAAAAAAGGACTGGGGCCTACATATCCACACCCAGGTCTAACCCATATATGGTCAGCCCATGCTGATGTCATGTGGGTTCAATGTGGTCTGCCCACATGGGCTTCCCATGTTGGGCCCATGATACTGAAACCACATGGGCCCCATATACTGTTGCCCAGTACTATCCCATTCCCAGATAGCCCACTTAAAAAAGGACTGGGGCCCACATATCCACACCCAGGTCTAACCCATATATGGTCAGCCCATGTTGATGTCATGTGGGTTCAATGTGGTCAGCCCACATGGGCTTCCCATGTTGGGCCCATGATACTGAAACCACATGGGCCCCATATACTGTTGCCCAGTACTATCCCATTCCCAGATAGCCCACTTAAAAAAGGACTGGGGCCCACATATCCACACCCAGGTCTAACCCATATATGGTCAGCCCATGTTGATGTCATGTGGGTTCAATGTGGTCAGCCCACATGGGCTTCCCATGTTGGGCCCATGATACTAGAACCACATGGGCCCCACATACCGTTGCCCAGTACTATCCCATTCCCAGATAGCCCACTTAAAAAAGGACTGGGGCCCACATATCCACACCCAGGTCTAACCCATATATGGTCAGCCCATGCTGATGTCATGTGGGTTCAATGTGGTCTGCCCACATGGGCTTCCCATGTTGGGCCCATGATACTGAAACCACATGGGCCCCACATAGTTTTGCCCAGTTCTATCCCATTCCCAGTTAGCCCACTTAAAAAAGGACTGGGGCCTACATATACACACCCAGGTCTAACCCATATATGGTCAGCCCATGCTGATGTCATGTGGGTTCAATGTGGTCTGCCCACATGGGCTTCCCATGTTGGGCCCATGATACTGAAACCACATGGGCCCCATATACTGTTGCCCAGTACTATCCCATTCCCAGATAGCCCACTTAAAAAAGGACTGGGGCCCACATATCCACACCCAGGTCTAACCCATATATGGTCAACCCATGTTGATGTCATGTGGGTTCAATGTGGTCAGCCCACATGGGCTTCCCATGTTGGGCCCATGATACTGAAACCACATGGGCCCCATATACTGTTGCCCAGTACTATCCCATTCCCAGATAGCCCACTTAAAAAAGGACTGGGGCCCACATATCCACACCCAGGTCTAACCCATATATGGTCAGCCCATGTTGATGTCATGTGGGTTCAATGTGGTCAGCCCACATGGGCTTCCCATGTTGGGCCCATGATACTAGAACCACATGGGCCCCACATACCGTTGCCCAGTACTATCCCATTCCCAGATAGCCCACTTAAAAAAGGACTGGGGCCCACATATCCACACCCAGGTCTAACCCATATATGGTCAGCCCATGCTGATGTCATGTGGGTTCAATGTGGTCTGCCCACATGGGCTTCCCATGTTGGGCCCATGATACTGAAACCACATGGGCCCCATATACTGTTGCCCAGTACTATCCCATTCCCAGATAGCCCACTTAAAAAAGGACTGGGGCCCACATATCCACACCCAGGTCTAACCCATATATGGTCAGCCCATGTTGATGTCATGTGGGTTCAATGTGGTCAGCCCACATGGGCTTCCCATGTTGGGCCCATGATACTAGAACCACATGGGCCCCACATACTGTTGCCCAGTACTATCCCATTCCCAGATAGCCCACTTAAAAAAGGACTGGGGCCTACATATCCACACCCAGGTCTAACCCATATATGGTCAGCCCATGCTGATGTCATGTGGGTTCAATGTGGTCTGCCCACATGGGCTTCCCATGTTGGGCCCATGATACTGAAACCACATGGGCCCCATATACTGTTGCCCAGTACTATCCCATTCCCAGATAGCCCACTTAAAAAAGGACTGGGGCCTACATATCCACACCCAGGTCTAACCCATATATGGTCAGCCCATGCTGATGTCATGTGGGTTCAATGTGGTCAGCCCACATGGGCTTCCCATGTTGGGCACATGATACTAGAACCACATGGGCCCACATACTGTTGCCCAGTACTATCCCATTCCCAGATAGCCCACTTAAAAAAGGACTGGGGCCCACATATCCACACCCAGGTCTAACCCATATATGGTCAGCCCATGCTGATGTCATGTGGGTTCAATGTGGTCAGCCCACATGGGCTTCCCATGTTGGGCCCATGATACTAGAACCACATGGGCCCCACATACTGTTGCCCAGTACTATCCCATTCCCAGATAGCCCACTTAAAAAAGGACTGGGGCCCACATATCCACACCCAGGTCTAACCCATATATGGTCAGCCCATGCTGATGTCATGTGGGTTCAATGTGGTCAGCCCACATGGGCTTCCCATGTTGGGCCCATGAAACTAGAACCACATGGGCCCCACATACTGTTGCCAGTACTATCCCATTCCCAGATAGCCCACTTAAAAAAGGACTGGGGCCCACATATCCACACCCAGGTCTAACCCATATATGGTCAGCCCATGCTGATGTCATGTGGGTTCAATGTGGTCAGCCCACATGGGCTTCCCATGTTGGGCCCATGATACTAGAACCACATGGGCCCCTCATACTGTTGCCCAGTACTATCCCATTCCCAGATAGCCCACTTAAAAAAGGACTGGGGCCCACATATCCACACCCAGGTCTAACCCATATATGGTCAGCCCATGCTGATGTCATGTGGGTTCAATGTGGTCAGCCCACATGGGCTTCCCATGTTGGGCCCATGAAACTAGAACCACATGGGCCCCACATACTGTTGCCCAGTACTATCCCATTCCCAGATAGCCCACTTAAAAAAGGACTGGGGCCCACATATCCACACCCAGGTCTAACCCATATATGGTCAGCCCATGCTGATGTCATGTGGGTTCAATGTGGTCAGCCCACATGGGCTTCCCATGTTGGCCCATGATACTAGAACCACATGGGCCCCACATACTGTTGCTCAGTACTATCCCATTCCCAGATAGCCCACTTAAAAAAGGACTGGGGCCCACATATCCACACCCAGGTCTAACCCATATATGGTCAGCCCATGCTGATGTCATGTGGGTTCAATGTGGTCAGCCCACATGGGCTTCCCATGTTGGGCCCATGATACTGAAACCACATGGGCCCCATATACTGTTGCCCAGTACTATCCCATTCCCAGATAGCCCACTTAAAAAAGGACTGGGGCCTACATATCCACACCCAGGTCTAACCCATATATGGTCAGCCCATGCTGATGTCATGTGGGTTCAATGTGGTCAGCCCACATGGGCTTCCATGTTGGGCCCATGATACTAGAACCAGATGGGCCCCACATACTGTTGCCCAGTACTATCCCATTCCCAGATAGCCCACTTAAAAAAGGACTGGGGCCCACATATCCACACCCAGGTCTAA